AATAACACTTAATTGGATTTAGGATTTTCTGCGTCAGCATATGGCTGTGCTCAGCAGTGAATAAGGGAAAAGGACAGCTTCATAATTGGTCCCCAATGACCCAGAGTTGAGCCACCCTGGGGAGTCAACTAGGTAAGGGTTTGGAAGCCAAATATGACCAAGACAACAAGGACATGGATCCTCAGTTATAAGAAGAGCAGAACTGGAGCAGCAGATGGTACCTTTTAGGAGCACTCACAAGAAGGTTCTAAGAACTGGATGTACACAGTCACCTTTCTGAGACTGCCTGCCCCAAATATGTTCTGAAAGGTCTACACCATTGATGAAAACCCAACATATGGTTTTTTACCCTCCAGAGGCCCAGAAGCAAATGAAGAGAGATGGGAAAATGAGAGTGCTCTTTTACAGGCTTCTTGCATGAATGCCTCCTCTTATCCTACAGGTTTTAGTATAAATATCACTGTAGAGTTCCCCTCCCCCACCTCCCTAAATAAAGGTGACCCCATCATCTCCCTCAATAGGTTCTTTATCACAAAACCCTGTTTAATTTTCTTTATGGCAGATGCTACACTCTGTAATCTTTTATAATTATTTTACATATTTATGTGTCTAATTGTAACCTCCAGAAGGGTAGAGACCTTGGACACGGACACATAGTACATGCTCAATATATATTTGTTGAAGGGGTGAATAATTGATGAATGAGTGATGATGAATTGATGAATGATAAGAGGGCCATATGGAGAATAATCTGGAATAAGAAACAAAAACAACAGATGTACAGCATACCAGGCCTGGTATTCAGACAACTAAGTATGAATCTTGGCATTGTGTGTTGCTAGCTAGATGACCGTAAACAAATTATTTAACCTGTCTGTGCCTCAGTTTCTTCATCTGCAAAATGGGGTTAATATTAGTGCCTCTGAGGTAGAGTAAGAGTACCATATAAGTGCTTGGAGGGTCAGGTATATTATAAACCCTCAGTAGGTAAAACTGTCAGTGCAGTTGCTGGGACACAATTAGTGTTCATGAAAGGTCATTGTCATTATCTTCCTCCTCCTCCTCAGGATATGGAGACACCACCTGCTACAGCCCTGCCTCACTCCTGGGATCTGCCTCTCTAACTTCATCCCACCTCATTTGTGAAACCTCATCTGTGGCACCACACCAACCCTACTCTTCTGGTCTCTGACCCCTTAGGAGACCAGTGATTACATCACATATCCACCAGATATGTCTGGAGTGGACACTCAATCACTGTGGATTGATGAAGTTATTCATGCTAGATTGGCAAACCCAACATTGATTTTGTTCTTGGGGAGAGGGGTCACCTTTCTCCAGCAAGTTTGCATCTTCCATGTCCTGAAATCTACCACATGTGGGCTGGGCTGCATCCACTTCCTTGTAGATCCAAAGCTGTGCATTTTATTATTTATTTTTAAAATAAAGTTTATTTATTTATTTATTTTGAGGGGTGGTAAGGGATAAAATGATGTGTGCACACATGTGCGTGCACCTGCGTGCACACACACACACACACACACACACACAGAAAGAGAGCGAGAGTGAGAGCGAGAGAGAGAGAGAGAATCCCAAGCAGGGGCTCAATCCCACAAACTGTGAGATCATGACCTAAGCCAATATCAAGAGTCAGACACTCAACTGACTGAGCCACCTAGGCACCCCACAACTTTGCATTTTAAAATCCTGTTCCAGACTGTGGCAGGTCCTGTGATGTTGGGAATCAGTGTTCATAAGCACAGCCTATGGGCAGATTATGACCATCCACAACAGCTCATCAAAGCCAAACCATGCCTTCACAGAGATAAAACTCTTCCCTTGACAAACTGAGCCAAACTCCAGTACCCTTCTATGACCATCTAGAATGCATTGCTCATCCCTATGCAAATGTGAAAAGCCAACTGCATTGCCAAAGTCTTTGAAGGGGGGGAGTTATTGACGCAAGTTGGTGACTGTTGTCAGACCTGTCACTTGCAGAGTAAACAAAACAACTGACTCATTAGAGAATGCAAGAGAGATTGTGAGGCTCTAATGGCTTTTGAAGGCAATGAAAGGAAGCAAATGCTTTTCCTTTGGACATAAGCAGAAGAGAAAAATGGAACTATATATCTTCTAGGCTTAAAGTCAGATGTAATGAGGGAGGTATGGACATATTTAACAGGGGAAACTGATCTATGTAGAAAGCCAGAGAAAGTTTCTTGCAGAAGTGGAATTTCGGCTGAAACTTACAAGAGAAATGGCCAGGGGTTGGGGTGGGGGGAAAGAATTTCAAGCTAAAGGAAAAACATGTTGAAAACAACAACGTAGAATAGAACTTGTCCTTAATAAGAAGCTCAGTATAAATGGGCATAGTGAGAAGGAGATAAGGGAAATAAAACTGAAGCAGAATCATATCTTCCATTTATGGATGTCTCAATCAATTTGTGTTACACAAAAACCCTATCGATGGCTTCAACAAGAAACGGTTATCTCTCACAGATCTGGAAGCTGGGCAGCCTTAAGATCAAAGTGCTGGCAGATCTGGGGTCTAATGAGGATGTGCTTCCTGATTTGCAGATGGCTGTCTTCTTGACATGTCTTCACATGGAAGAGAGCAGAGGGGTCTTTAATTTTCTTTTAAATGGCAGTGAGAAGAGGGGTCTTTAAAAGTCTTTTCTTTTCCAAAGGGATACTAATTCTATCACTGGGGCTTCACCTTCATAATCTCCTCTAGACCTAAGTGCCTCTTAAAATCCTCACCTCCTACCTAATACCATTCCACTGTTGGGTTCAGGTTTTAGCACAGGAATTTGGGTGGTGGGGCAGAAACATGAAGTCCATAACAATGGGTTAGGTCTTTTGTTAGGTATTTCATAACTGTTCGCATTGATCTATAGACACAACAAGGTAGGGATGATTTTTCCCATTCTCTAAGTGAGAAACTGAGGTCAGATAATTGTACAACTGAGGTCAGATAATTGTACAACTTGGCCAATTGTTGTACCAGTAGAGAGAGGTAAAGCTGGAGTTGGAAGAAAGGTATACCAATAATGTGATTCCTGTTGGTTTTCCAAGAACCAGAGAGATGAGAATGAATATGTGCCTAAAGGCACGCACAGAGGATGTGACCACTGGGATCCCATGTGACGTGTGAACTTCCATCTTGCTATGAGTCACCATGATAGGATTGTAGCCTCTTGGCTGCTAATAGTTAAGAGATGCCACCAGCCTCTGCCAAGATTTAATATTGGTTTAGCAGTCAGGAGTTAATTAAATGTTAATGTTCAGTCACTTGAAGTTAAACATTAGGAATCTCAGCTTTATTTGTAAGTTTCTGAAGCCATCGTTGAGGTGTTCTGCTTGCCTCCCCCCACTCCTCACCCTTGCTGGGCTCCTGATTCCTCCAGCTGAATCCCCCATTCATAGGCAAACTCATTTCCCTCACCACATGCCTTGACACACAACATTTGACCTGCCTGACAGCCATACTCCTCTAGTGAGAAAATCTAAAAGGCTCAACACACACACATACACACACACACACACACACACACACATACACACACACACACAAACACGGTGACATGGAGTTTCACATAAGGTAAGCCTTACCTATAACATTATAGTTATTTTGGTATTTGAAACATTTTATAGACAACACAGCACTTTCAGGGACATAATTGAATTTGACCTCATGGTGAGATGATGGCAATGATGATAATGATGTTGGGCGAGGAGGAGAGATGGTAGAGGAGGAGGAGAAGGAGGAGGTGAGGCACAGAAGGAGGGAAATGAGGAGAAAGAAAAAGGAAGGGGAAGAAGGACAATTTCTTAAGTGTTTTCTGTACATTTTCATGTAATGCTCCACAAGACAGACAATGTTACCACTCTTATTTTATAGACAAAGAAACCAAACCCCAAAGGGGTTAAATCATATGCTCAAGACCACATATAGAAGGGGATGCCAAGATTGATATTTCAAATGTTTACTCCCTTAACTACAAATGATCATATTATATATGAGGAACAAGTGCAGTTCAGAGAATAAATTTGGACAAGACCCCATAGGTTTTTTTTTTTTACCCATATATGAGGTAATAAATCTCAGAGAGGTTAAATGGCTCACTAGTGTCACACAGCTTGGTGTGAGGATCAGCCAGAGCTGGAATGCTGATTCCTGTCTTCCAGGAGGTGTGTGTGTCTGCATGAATGTGCACACACACAGATCCAGGTTCCCTCCAAGCCCAGAACTCCCCTGGTGAGTAGGATTCCATGGCATCCTTGGCATTTTCCCCAAGTTCCTAGTTGCATTTCAGCTTGGAGTGCTGCTCTTGAGTAGCTAAGTAGTGGGAGAGACTGGGGTGGAGGGGGAGGGGAAAGGCCTTTCCAGAAAGGCAACACCACTTGTACCTGTGTGTTCCTTTCAGAACCCTGGCCAGTGCCATACTGGTTCCAGCAACTTCCAGTGGCAGGAAGCCTGGGCCACAGCACCTACACCAATGTGCTGCATTGAAAATCAGGATAAATCCGCACCAAGGGAGATGTCTAATCAAGGCTCAGGTTTGCATTTCCTTCTCAATGGCATGTTGACAAAACAAGAAAAGACAGAAACAAACATGGTTAAGCTAACTTTCTTTCAGAAGCCAGTCGGTGAGAAGTGAAAATAGGAGAGTGCCCTAGGGCCAGCAGGGAGGAGCCAGCAGGAATATTCAGCACACCAGGGCCATACTGAGGCTGGGATCCTGCCTCTCTTAGCACTTTCCAGAGGCTAAGCTGCAAAGTTAGAGAAAACTGAGGTCAACCCAAAAGAGAGGGGGCCCATGGGGGAAATGTGACTATTAGGACACCTGGACAGCCTGAAGTTTAGAAAGCATGAAGTATATATAGTTGTGGTGCTATCTCTCCAATATATTCAAAAGAACTTAGGAAAGGACTACAGATGGTTAGAACAGGAATAGTAACAGTGCTGCCCATTTATGGAAAAGCCACTCTGTGCCAGGAGTATACACAACATCATTTTTTTCAACAACAGTCTTGCCCCATGGTCTATTTCACAGGCCCTGAGACTGGGATTCCAAGATTTTAAATTACTTGTCCAAGATAACCAGCTATAAGGGTTCAGAAATCATCCTTTCCACGTTGCTTGCTTTACACAGGAGGAAAACAGGCTCCAGGAGGGCAGAGCTGTGCCAAGGTCATCCTGAAAGTCCCAAGCATCCTTAGAACCTCTGAGCCCCAGAGACAATCTCACAAAATCCAGATGGTGACCTCAGTCGACTTGCTGGTTATATTCAAAGTTACCGTTTGGGCCACAGCGACAATCATCATTTTCCTTTCCTCTCCATTTTTAGAGAACAAAATCCCTATAAGTAGAAATCAAGCAAAGGTATTTAGATCAATCAAATATGTCATGGCATTGTGAGATCACTTCCTTTTGAATACATAAGGTCCAATACCTGATGTGACTAACATTTTCTACTCTGCAGAATGAAATCTGGGGCCAGAAATACCTGGATTTGGATGTAGCTCTAGTATTCACTGCTATGAATCTTTGGGCAAGTCACCTAAGTTCTACAAGCCACATTGTTCCTGGAAATGGGAGAGCTAGCCATTCATCCCACATACTTTTGAGTGCTTGCTGCATGTCAAGTGCAGTCGTAGGTGCTGGCAGTAGAGCAGTGAACACCCCAAAACTCAATGTTCTTGGCTGATATCCAAGTGGGTATAACTATAGGACCCTGACTGCAGGTTTTTTTGTGAGGAAAGAAGAGATATTCATGTAAGGGTCTTACAACAGTGCCTCCTGGTAAGCCATGATTTAACAAATCATGTCTGTTCAAATAATATAATTATGAATATTCTGATCACTTTTTTAAATGGGGCCAAGCCACATATTTTTTAAGGCAATAGAGAATATAAAAAAGTAGTTGGCTATATAGTTTGGTGAGCATTTAAGCATGTACTACCTGATGATCTAGGCAATTCAGTATCTAAGAAATATAAAGACGATCCAGCATATACTTCCGCAAAAGTAGCACAGGGTGCTGAGAGTACTTTGGAAGGGCCTCTTGCTGCTGCAAGATATAGTGCTGATGATTCTGGGATATGCCATTTGCCAGGCATTCCACTGGTCTTCCTGCCTCTCATTTTCATGCAGCACCCATGTGGCAGGTGCATTTGTCTCTATTTTACCAAGGAGGGAGCCAAGCCATAGGGAGGGTAAGAAATGTTTTCCCCTGTTAGGGCCAAGATGTGAACCCAAATCCCTAACACCACCAGGGGCATTGTTCTTTTCACTGCATATGTATTGCACTTATGGGAATTATGGGTCATTTAATTTTCTTTTCATCATCTTTTTAAATACTGAGCTTGCTACTTCCGGAGGAAAAGGAGATAATAAAAAAAGCTGTTTGTACTGTCCCATCTTTCTCTGTACCTTTGACATTGAAAAAAGTACGCGGTTGGGGGGAGGCACCTGGGTGGGTGGCTCAGTAGGTTAAGAGTCTGACTCTTGATTTCAGCTTCAGGTCAAGATCTCATGGTTAGTGGGTTCGAGCTCCACATCACTCTCTGTGTTGAGCATGGACCCTGCTTATGATTCTCTCTCCCTCTCTCTCTCTCTGCCCCTCCTATACTCACTCTTTCTCTCTCTCTCAAATATAAACTTTTTTTTAAGTGCAGGGATTTCTCTTTCTTACAAGCCTTTCCCAAATATACTTCATTCTTCCCTCCTTCCTGGGGACACACTAGGCCCCATTTTCCAGCTCCCTTACAGATAGACATGGCCGTGTGACTGAGTTAGGGTGGACGGAGCATGATGGGGAAGGACTGCTGGTCACTCCCCAACCTAGCTGATAAAAACTGTGTATGACACTCTTGCCCTCCTTGGAAGCCTGATGGTGAAGATGAACAACCAGAGAGTGATAGAAGACTGACTTCTAAATAACTACAAGTAACAGCGTACTCATCCCATGTGCCTGGTCACACATCACATGAGAGAGAAATAAACTTTCCCCAAACTAAACCCCTCAGATGCAGAGGTTTATCTATTAAAGCAGCAAACCTTAGCTAGTTTCAATGGCAGGCTCCTTTCCTTAAGGGTAACTATTATTATTAAATTCTACAATCTTGGCACCTAGCAAAGGGCTGGGTGTATAGTAAATTTAGGAAGGCTGGCCTGGTGGTTAGGAGAAGGGGTTTTGGGATCAGATCAGCCTAGATCTGACTACTGGCTCCAACACCTGTGAGCTGTGAGAGACTCTAATTTAAACTTTCTGATCTTCCATCTTCTCATTGGTGAAAGAATGAAAATAACCATACACGGCATAGTCATGCATCTTAAGATATGGTAGGGGAAAATGCTTAGCCTATAGGGAGTACATAATAGGCTCTTAGTAGCTGTAACATACTATTGCTAATACTGCCACTACTGATGATGATGCCATAGTGCTGATCAACTGATTCTGTTCAGTCCCCAACAGTAAGTGCTCGAGACTTGACCCAGAATATATGCACAGTTGTTGCATACATATATAATCACTCACATAAAGATGGGCAAATAAGCGGGCCTGTAAATGTTCTAAAGTGGCTTCTAAATAAAAACAATGATGGCTCTGTCCCTTCTTCACAATCATCTATTGTCACCATCTATAGCTTCTCCTTTTCCATCCCTCCCTTCTCTATACTTCTGTCTCCCTGGGTTCTTAAAAATTATAATTAACTCATACTTTGGACTCTCAGGATTATAAGGTATTATAGGATGGTAGAGCTAAGACAAATGCTTTAATTCACCAGCTGCCATGTATTTAATTAGAGATTCTGAAGAGTCCTCCTTACACAGATATGCCTTCCTAGCTCTTGCTGCGTGAGAGTGAGGGAGAGTGAGGGAGAGCGAGAAGGCTTTGTGCACAAGGACTCTAGGACTCTGAAACTTTTGGCTAGCATGGACTACTAGTCTGTCACATGAGCATCAGCTGGAAGCAGAGCAGGTTAGCTGTCAGCCCTCTGTCATGTGTTGCAGGCACACTTAGATGTCTTGAATGAGGTTCTATTTCCCTGGAGCACAGGAAAGCCCTGCACATGGTGGTGGAATGGGATGGGGGATAATCAAAGGTCCAAATTGCTTCTGGGGCCTCTTGTATTTTTATCTTTTTAATTGTTCTTATAATCTGGGAAGGGGTGGAGCAAAAGGCATTTGGCTCTCACTGACAAGATAGGTCTCACAATGCTTGGTTTGTGTTTGTGCATGCACACATGTGTGTGTCTCACACTCGCTAATGAAGTTGGCAGTTTGATAAATAGGGTTTATGTTTGCTCTTGCAGAGGAAAACCATTGCTCTCCAAAAAAATGCTTTTGTTGCACAAAGTGACTCTAATAATGACAATATTTAATAAAATTAAAATCCAGGTTGTAAACAGAAAAGCTGACAGACTTGTCGATTCTTTTCCCTGTCTGGAGCAAACAGTGAGTTTCTGGCCAACACCAGAGACCTGAGTTGCAGTTCCAGAGTGCGGTCAAACTAAGTATCATATTTTGAGTAGTCAAATTGACAGTGAGGAATAGGGGTTCACAAACAATCTTCCCAAGATTGTTTCACACTGCAGACTGAGGCCATGTGTCTCCTCTTCCTATCCTCCTGGCAGGGATAGAGACAATGTCCTCTTCCGATGCTTAGAGTCAAGGCATCTTGGGGTTGAGTCCATTGCTGACTCCTGCAGTTCCTTCCCAATTCTTTCAATGAAGCCAATGTCCTACCACAGAACATCTAAGTCCTCACTGAGTTTGAACACTACAATCCTGGCATAGAGTCCCTTCCCAATGTTGCTTAACAGCTCTTACCAGTGTGTACATTCCATTAGATCTTCTCAGGAAGTTATCTTCACTGAACCTTGAATATCACAGGCTCACTCTACCTGCATCCTTGTGCTAATGGTGTAATGGTCTCCTGTGCTGCCCTTTCCATCCCCTCCGTTTTGCCAAACCACACTCTCCAGGATCCCACTCTCTGCCACCTCATCCACAAAGTTCTTAAGTATCTTCCTCTGCTTCAGTAGTCACATATAATTATTTATAATTTTATTTTTTCTTTGTTGTGTATCCTGTCTTCCCACCTAAATCATAAAGCCTTTGAGGATATGAGACAGGTTTATACACTGCTGTCCTGTCATGGATAAGCATGGTCATGGTGAGCCCACCCCAAATTCCAAAACCTAAGTGTTCCGCTGCCTGATTTATAGAGAGGGTTACACTGCATCTCCTAGGGCATAAACTCACAGATAACTTCTTGCTGAGAAGCTTCTCTGTGTGTTGGAGAACACCTCTGATATTCATTAGAACCAGGTCCCCAAGGAACAGAATCCAAGACAGTTGTGTCATTATTATGTGTACTTGCTCCCTTTTCTCCCACTGAAAGGCCTTGTACAGTCACTACAAGGTCTTCTTTACTAAGAGAACTATCATTAACTCCTCTTGTTTCATCCTACCTTTCTGACCCCTTTCCATTCCTTCTCTCCCACCATTCCCAGATGAGGCCAAACACCAATTTCACACTGTCATCTCATTAATAGACTGATATGAAGCTAGTCAAACGTGAAATGGGCTTCAGTGAGTATGTCCAGCCAGGCAAGAGAGAAAGCATCATTAAAGATAATGTCCAGGTTTGGGAATTGGGCAATGGACATGATAAGACTGAATTTCATCCCAGGGCAAGACAGATGGGGAGACTATGAAGAAAATGGAGGGATCATCCATGGAGCCCTGTTATCCTCATGGGTAAATAACAGAACCTCTGGAGTCAAGTTTTGCTCTCAACTTACAGGTATGCCAGAATCTTCTCAAGTCTGAAAAACATATTGACTATCTCTTCATTATGGTCCCCGTTACTTTCTCTTTCTATCACTTATTTGCATATCTGAGTTTCTTTCTTGATTGTGACTTCCCTATGGGAAGGAGGTCATCTCATTGGCAACCTGAATCCTGAGAAGCTAGCACACAACCTGCAACTCTGTAGGTTTGTTGAACGAATGAATGAGCAAGTGAGTGGAGTAGGTAGGGTTAATCTGAAGCCTATTCTCAGACTTCTCCTCCCTTAACTTTTGGTCCCTGTCTTTGAAAAAACATTCATTTTTTAAATTAAAAGATGAACAAATGCAAATTAGAAATAATCTGTAGGTATCATTTTGGACTAACTCAATTAATGAAAATATTCCTAAAGCAACAACACCCAATGCTGTCAAGCCTGCATGGGAAATGCCATAGGTACTACATTGGTGGCAGACTGGTAAAGCTCTCCGGAAATCAATAAATCCTTCATTTACTAATTTAACAAACATGTACCGAGGGCCTACTGTGTCCTAGGCACTG